ATATGTGAATAAAATAATTGAATATCTCTTATATTTACAATTATTTTTTTATTTTTTTCATTGTTTAATTTTCTATTAGAGCATCTTATTTTTTATTTGTTATGAATGTAATAAATTAGCTTCCTGAGAATACTATAGATAGTGAGACTGTTCAAATCTTTTTTATTTTAATATAAATTTATATTTAGTAGTATATAACTTTAAAATAAATATCTTTTGAATATATCACGATATCATATAGTTAATGCAGTAATAGTTGCAGTTATTCTATTAGTAACAAAAATATAAAGGAAAGAATCCAGAATTGGAGAGCTAACTTTAGGCAGCATTACAATTTACAAATGGAGTGCAAAGTCCTATGGCTAAGTAAAATAGACATTATGTCTAAATTACGAACAGAATAGCCAAGGCAAATTTTATATTTTACCGTTAATTATTTTGCTAAAATCCATTAAAAATAAATGAAAAATATGTGTACAAAAAGTGAATTAAAGACGCTCAGATAAAAAAATTGTCTGGCGGCTTCTACATGACGTAATTATCGGGCGTCTTTTTGACGTAGACTAACCGATTTATTAAATAGTTGCAATTATGACGTAGTTTTAAAAATTTTAGCTACATCTATATAAAATCCTAGATCCGCCCTTGACCTCACGAAATTTTTTTGTGTAGCTTCACTAAAAAATACTTAGTCTTTTCTGATTTTCTTCTTTAGGTATTGTAATATAGCTAGTTATATTATAAAAACGCTGAGTCACTCTGACTTTCTTCTTTAGATAATATAACATACCTAGTTATTTTATAAAAATCACAATTTTAATAATATTTATAACAAAAACTATTTTATAAATACAACAATTTATTAATATATTTATTTAGTCGGATTTGAACCTTTTTTCTTTTTGTCTTTTGTTTATGTTTTCAATTCTTAATTCTTAATTATTTGCTATCTTCAAGTATACTAAATATATATTCCTAAATAAATTTTATTTATTTATTTATTTTAAGAATATTTATTAATACGAAATGTTAACACGTAAACTTTTTAGCGGTTCTCGACAACAAGACCTCACAGTCTTCTACGAGTTCCTGCGTTTTTTTATTTCTAAATAACGATCATGTATATATACATTGTTAACGAATATTTATTAAATTACAAAGTTGTAATCACATGTCAAATTTGGAGTTCTTAAAATATTATTTTTAAATAAAGCAATAAGATAGCAAAAACAACGATAAGGGTTCGTCTATAAAGTATGCACGCCAAAAATTTAAAAACTTAGCATACGTACAAATAAAAATAAAGTTAACTTAGGGCGAACATTTTTTTAGGCACCCCTCTTTATTGAGTCCCTAAAAAATGAGTCTTATGCAAAATTGGTAATATTAAAAACAAAGCCTATAATCTAGTGCCAGGAGCTGGCTACCTATATATATATATACATATATATATATATATATATATATATATATATATATATATATATATATATATATATATATATATATATATATATATATATATGTAGGTAGCCAGCTCCTGGCACTAGATTATAGGCTTTGTTTTCCATATATATATATATATATATATATATATATATATATATATATATATATATATATATATATATATATATATATATATATATATTTAATTTTATTTAGGTGCTCCAAGAAGTCCTTACGATCTTATCAAAGAGCACCACGGATGAGCATTTAATTGGAAGTTCACGCCTCCTTCCTAACCAATGTCGCAAAACTTGCCCAGAGGTGGGGTTTGAACCACGGATCCTGTGTTTCTGAGGCAAGTATCACCACGCTACGCCTGCCTATTGGGGGCCGGTGGGAGAGAATCCAGCAAATTTAGGGGCCCTTTTTTAAATTTAAGGAGTTTTTTTATTTTTACAATACCTAGCCGTAAAATTTGGAAGATTTTAAGACCCTATTGACAGTTTTTATTTTTGGGGTGGGGTGGGGGAAGGGGTTTTCCGACCGATTAGCTACAGCACTCCTAAAACCTATTTTTTGCGGAATCAAAAAAGAATTTGCCTGAAATACAAGTCTGCCTTACTCTGAGCCAGTATATAAGAGGTGGCATGTGTGTGCATAGCTATGCATACATAAAAGAATGTTTTTTTTTAGGTGCCTCAAGAAGACCTAACGGTCTTGTCACAGAGCACCGCGGAAGTGCATTTAATCAGGAAGTTCACGCCTCTTTCCTTACCGTGACGCAAAAATATGTCGAGAGCTTGTTTTGAATCTGGATCTCAACAACAACAACAACAACAACAACAACAACAACAACAACAACAACAACAACAAACAAGAAACAACAACAACAACAAACAAGAAACAACAACAACCAAAAACATAAACAACAACAAGAAGAAGAAACAGAAACAACCAAAAACATAAAAACAACAAGCAAAAACATAAACAACAACAAACATTACAATTATTTAAAATTAGCCTTTTAATGTAAAACAAAGTGAAACTTATGTCGTAGTGAAAATGTTGTACAGATGTAAAGTTCATATACGTATTGTTTCACAATAAGTAAGTACGTTCATCTACGTATGGTTTCACAATAAGTAAGTACGTTCATTTACGTTTGGTTTTGCAATACGTACAACCCGAATCAAAATAAAAAAATTGTCAAGTCAAAATTGTTTTTAACTCATTTGTTTCAATGTGTATCAATCATTTTTTTGTCGCAAAAACTTGGTTGTACCTAAATGCCGGCCTGGCCGAACCCGGCCCAAAAACCTAAAACCCGGGCAGGATAAAAATAGTTTTCTTTCAGATTTTACACTAATATTTTCTTTCAAATATTAGTAAAATCTCCACAACTATTTCCTTTGAGTTGTTGAGATGCATTAAAAGAAATTTTGTCCCATACTCCAAGTTCATAAGTAACAAATGACCGTAATATCATATTATAATATCTCACAAATATATCAAGTTTCAAAGTATTATACCCATTAATAGAATTCGCAAATCCATCTGTTTTATCAAGAGTGTTGGCAAATAAGAGTGTCCAGTGGTTGTTGTTAACGTGAAGAGGGAAAAAGAATCCAGCAGTATATACTTAGACGGACTTTTTTTTGTAAAGCCAACCATTAAAGTTTTTTTTGCCTTCGTTTTTGTGCCTTCGTTGAGCTAAAAAAAAATCTCTTTTTTGGCAGTGTTGTCAACGTCACTCTCGGCACCACGAGCCGCATTGATATCACAATTTCCAATTCGTGGTTTTTTTCTTCCAAGCCGTTGCTTCACAATACGCTTGTTTCCACGTAGCTGCGTTAAGTTTATAGACTTCTTCTCAGAGGTTATTGGACCACCAGCAAAACGTTGCACAGTTTTAATATAGTAATATATTTTTACTAATGGACATCATCATGTTTGTTTTAGTACATTTAATCGAACCATTGTACCTTGTTACTGGTTCCTTTCACCAAAAAATATTTCATAGATGGATTGAATGGACCCGTTATTCTTAGTTTGAGCTCTATGGTTTTCAGACACTGAACAAACGTTTTTTTTCTTCTTTAATTGTATTATTTGCAAAGTTCTGGTTCCGCCGTTTTATTTCGGAAACAAGTTCTTGCGTGGTAGCATTTCTTCAACAACAATGTTATCTCTCGCAGGACAAGATTAGGAAACTTGTCTTTTAGTGGATGATAATCTCCTTGATCAAGAAATTCAAGAATAATGGAGTTGACATAACAGCACTGAAAATGGTATATAATGAGTTTATTGGTTTCATTGAGGAAACTCGTCTTTTAGTTGATGATTATCTCCTTGATCAACAAATAAAAGAATAATAGAGTTGACATAACTGCACTAAAAATGGCAAAAATTGAGTTTATTGGTTTCAGTATTTCCTGGATGATATTAGTAAAATGATTTTGTAAGTTTTATATAAAATCCACACACCTACATAGTTGTTTCAGTAATTATCTTATTGCTTCCTGGAAATGTAATAGAAACAATTTTATAACATAAATTATAACATTATAACATTTTATAACATAGACTAAAATTTTTTTTTTACTAACTACTTTTTTTCACACAATATATAAAAGGAAGAAGTTAGTAAAAAGAATTCTAATTCTTAAAACCAAAAATTTACAGAATTTTAAATGTTATTTGTAAATCTGTATATCTTTAAGCAATAAAAAAGTAAACAAATGTATCTCTTATGCAAAAACAAAGACTTTTTGTAAAATAAAGAAAGGTTTTAAAGTTTTAGGTAATTAGGCCGGGCCGGGTTTTAGGCATAACCCAAAAATTTATAAGATTTTATAAGTTTCTTTGACTAGTGCACAAAAATTTATGTGGAAAAGCAACAGAATCATTTGTTGCGCACCAAAATAGCATTTATGCAACAATTGAAAACTATTTAAAAAAGTCTTATAAATAATGAGATTCAAAAACAACTGTACATTGGTTTGCCATATTACTAGGTTTAGTGAAAAAAGTGTTAAAATTTTAAATCTAATAATATGGCAAGCCACTGTATATCGAAAAAGGTTCTTATAAATAACGAGACTCAAAAACAGTATAGTAACTTTTTTCCGTTAAAAGTTTTTGTATTTGTATAACTTAACAGATTACCGCGTTTGATAATAGAATATAAAATATTAAAACAAAAAAGCATTATTTGCTACTATGTTAAACATTTTTAATATTTTAAAAATATTAAAAAGATTAAGCCAGTTAACCAGTTTGTTAATTAAAATTTAATAATTATTCTACTCAAAACTGTGATTTTTTTTTTTGCCTCTTAAAGAATATTTTCTATTAAATATTTATTAATTCTATTAAAGAATATTCACCAAATTTTTAAACTAAACAGTATACGCTCAAATTAAAGTAAATAAAAATTTGAAAAGCAAATAAGAAATACATAAGTATATAAATAATATATGAACACGAACAAATAAAATGTATAAAAATATAGACAATAAATATATGCATAAAAAAAGGCAAGCAGAAAAACGTTTTAAATTTTCTTACATGTTTATTTGCAACCACGTTATAAAGTTATTAAGTTTTAGCTCTTTTTAAGTGTTTTTTAGATGCGTGGCCGCATATAAAAATTAAGTGTTAGTTGTTTTTTTAGATGCGTGGGCGCATGAGGACATTTGAATAAATTTATAAAAGTCGTGATAAAAAGTTATTCATACTCATAAGCCAAAGATCGATTGCACGCACCATTTGAAGACATAAGTTCGTATTGTAATCAGCCAATAAATTGATAGTCGGATCAAAACGGTGGATAAGTTCTCGATTTTGCAAACATTTTTTAATAAAAACTAAAAAAGTATAAATATTGTGGCCCATATTACGCTTGTCGGGCCATCCTGTATCTACCAAATGAAATGCCGCAGTTTTTATATGAAAGGACGTAAACTTATCTTTAAACAAACCGTTTGAGCGAAATTTAAAAATGGCTTTAACGACACGAACGCTTTTTTTCGCTTGTGAATGAAGCTTATTTGCTGCTCTAACTTCTTTAAGCGAATGCGATAACCTCCAGTTGTAGGGTTTTCCTTCAACAGGTTTGGGTACAAAATAAAGAGGTTTAGGACCTATAAATAAACAAAAGTTTTATGTTTGGTGTTATCATTTGAACTTGATAACAATTAGGATTGCGTTTTATTTGGTATTTGAGACAAAATTTCCAGATTTTTATTGTTTCCACTGCAAATTTTTAAAAACCATATAAAAATTGGAGTCAAAAACTTGTAGTTTCTTTCAGTTCTTTCAGACAACAAACAAACTCTTTCAAACTTTCAACAAACTTAGACATAAAACAAATCGTTTTCATTTTCAAAAAAATGAAAGTAAACTCCAAACTTTGACATTTTCCAGCATTTACTGGACATACGTGTCAAAGTATGTACTTTAATATTACTTAATTTACATTTATCCAAAAAGGTTTGAACCTTTTAAAAAGGTTTTGAATGAACTAGTGTATATTTAGTATAACTTTGAAAACTTATTACAAAAATATAAATGTTTTGGTAGCTATATTGTCATCAGATTCGACGCTTACTTCCATGTTCAACAAACCTAGTAAATTTGTCAGTTAATTTATTGTAAATTGTATGAGCTTTTATATTCATAAAATCCATTATTAATGCCTGATCTCTGTATATTTCAGTATTTTCAGCATATTCTTTCATTTTATCACAGTACTGTTGAAAGCACTGTTTTCATGAACTAAATGCCTTGAAAATTTGATATAGCATTGAAACGTCAAACAAATTTTACATCAAGAACGTACTAAAAAATTTCAAGATTAAAATGTTTACCGCAGTCATAATTAAATTTTTTAGTAACAAATTTATCTTGTTTCAAGAAATTTTGATTTCTTGACAGAAATCATTAAATGATTTGAAGTAAATATCCAGTTAAAGATTTACGAAAAACATTTTCCTAATACTTCACCAATATAAAAGTTACATAATGCATAAACTCAAAAAAAATTTTTATTATAAAATCAACTAACTTTAATAAACTGTAAACTGACTTAATGACATAATATTTAAAATTGAACCTGCATTTCCAAAAAGGTTGTTTGAAGTCATACCGCAAGTCATATCACACCACAAAAAATATATTATATAAATAAAATATATAAAATATATTATATAAATAAAATATATAAAATATATTATATAAATAAAATATATAAAATATATTATATAAATAAAATATATAAAATATATTATATAAATAAAATATATAAAATATATTATATAAATAAAAGAAACGTTTAATATTTGTATCTTTTTTTATATATGATTAATTTGCCAAGTTTAAACGCGAAATGATCGAATTGCTTTACAAAAACAGTAGTAAAAATAATGTATTTTATTATTTTTATTTTATCTTTATTTATTTATTTGAAGTTTTATGCTATATTTTTCTATACAATGTTCTTACATCAGAAGATATTGTTGGCTTCACATAGGAACAGCAACAAATAGTCATTAAGACAAATCCAAAGTAGCGTCCGTTATTAGCCAACATTTTTGCGTACCAAAGTACTACACTGAATAGGAGGTGGCAGCTTTTGAACTCGTATCGTATATTATTAGCAGTATATATAGGCATATAATGTCTAGCTTACCGAAAAATACTTGAAAAATACTTGAAAAATACTTGTGCTATCAAGCTAGAAATTTTATAAATTGGAGACAACACATTGATAAAATGTCTGAAGCAGGATTATTTCAAATTTTTATTTCGTTTTATTATGACAGCTAAATTTGTGATTAATCCAAAAATTTGACTAAAAGTTGAGAGGAAAATACAAATTTTTCGATAAAAAATATTTCGCTTGAAGATCCTGCTTTAGGCACTACTTTAAATTATAATAAACAACTTGTGAAAATTTAAACGTTAAATTCTATGCGGATATTGAGTTGTTCTAACATTCAAAAAAATAAACAAAGAAAAATGCAAAAGAAATTAATAAGGTAAAAATGTTCATTGAGCATTCTACGAATAAAACGATAGAAACACATAAAAACGATAGAAACACATAAAAACGATAGAAACACATAAAAACGATAGAAACACATAAAAACAGAATTTTTTCAAAGATAGTGGAGATATTGTTAATAATACAGATATTGATTATTTAGGTTTTTATAGGAGATAAAAAGTAGAAATTGACAAACAGTTGTGGTTGCTATGCGCCTTGCTATGAACAATTGTTAATAAAAGTTAATAATTTTATTGTTTAAGACAAATTTTTAATGTAAATAATAATTAAAAATCACTTTCATAGCAGAAGAAGAACTAAAATTGTAAATTGTATTATTCGGAAAAACATGGAGATGAGAGAGAGTTCCAAAGCATCGATGTGCGAGTAAAAAAACTAGGCGAATAAAACATTTTTTATAGCATAAATACAGTAAAAAAACGCGACAATGCTGAATTGAGATTTTGATTAATGGAAAAAAAGATTGAGCAGTCGTAGCGTAGTGAGTTCGGATTTCTAGCAATCGTAGAGTGCGTGATTAGCGCACTCGCCTCAAGCTAGAGATCCGTGCTTCAACACCAACTCTGGGCAAGTTTTGAGATGATAACTTGTTTGAGCAGCGACCATGACAATCAATGTTTTACAAGGTTTTGAACATTATTCTTTTTATAATTTCATTTTTTTATACGAAATTGTATATAGTTTTTGTGGTCTTTAAATATTTATTTTATATACAATATTTACATTTACAACTATTTATATGGTATTTTATATACAATATTTTATTTGATAGTCTTTAAATATTTTATGTGATTTACGTGAGTTTCTTTAGAAAAGATATTATAGTTTAAGCCCTTCTAAAAATTTTAATGGGCAATCCGTATTCACAAAACCTTAGTTCCCCTCAATAACAAAAATATTAGATTTCTATATGCAAAAAAACAACAAAAAACAAAAAACAAAAAACTCACAAAAGTTAATACAACATTTTCTCTCGTAGAGTTTGAAACACGGAACTAAATCGACTTGATACCAGAGAATTTCTTTAACAGTATAAACGTTGATTTGAGTTGCAACACCATGATAAATTAGCTTGATTGTTTTAGGATGTTTCATAATGTTAACCCATTTTTGAACGATTCCGTAAAAGTACTCGCGATAAGCTTTAGCATTAATACAACCTTCATTATCGCGTGGGTAATCTAACATTGAATTAGCACATTTTATTTTAACGTAGCCACCACTCACCTCGTTTTCAAGCTCCAATAATTTGTCCCGATCAACAACTAACATGATATCAAACTCAATAATATTTTCCCCACAAATATTTAATTTCTCAAATGAACTTCCTAAAAATTAATTTTTGGAAAAAAACAAAGACTAAAACACCTAACAACTTTTCTATTGAAAATTATAATTATGCTAATAAATAATCACGCAAATAGCAAACTCGTACAAATTTTTTCGCCTCTGGACACTTAACAAAAATGTTATAATTTATGTCTTATAAAATAATAATATACTATTTTAGGGATCGTCCATAAACTACGCTACGCTAAGTTTAATTAATAAACAAAACAAATAAGATCAAAAATTATCCGTCACAGAGATTTTAAGAGCCATTGTCTGAGAAATCTAGGTAAAATAAGGAAATTCTGATAATGATGTCTTCAAATTATCCTCATTTTTAAATATTTTGTAAAAGACAATGAAAGTAGGCTACTGGTAAATTTTTTTTCCAAAATTCTAAATCATTTTGGAAATATTAGGTCCCAAAATCTGGCCAATTTTGAGAAAATATTTTCGATTGAAGTGCAATTGCTGTTTTGAGGGGCAATTTTAGTAACATGAATATGACAGACACATTTCTTTTTAATTTTTATGCTAATCTGGGTAGATTTAACACAGTAAAAGTAAAAATCCAACATGGTTACATTTTTGGTTGTCTAGAAATCATGGTCCAAAATTTAAAATTTTACCCTAATTTTGAGCTCTAATATCTCTAAAAGCCACTCTAAAATTTTTTTTTACTTGCACGTAGTTTTCTTAGGTGTTTTTGAAAGACACTAAAACACATTAATTTTATGGAAAAAAAGTTATGTGCATGCAAGACCTGGTAAGAAGTAACCTGCCAAATGTCACTTTTTGCCTTCGCACTTTGATAGATTATCCATAATAACCGTGGCCTTAGGTCTGCCATCAACAGTATAATTTATTTAGTTTCCTTAAACATGCATCTTTCAATATCTGGAAAAAATCCATGTGGTTAGATGATTAAAAACCTACAGAAGTCCTAGAAGTAAACTTATTTTGCCAAATTTTTTTGCTAAAAAAATACGCTAGCAACAGTAAGATAAGCTTAGCAACGGCTACTTTACAGCCTTAACAATTAGTACTGTAATTAAAAATTTTGATACTTTTTAACTGTACAAGAGCACTTGACAAAAATACACTTAAAACAAAATACAAATAAAAGTTATATATAAATAAATACAATGTTCTATA